TAATTTTTGTATTTTTAGTAGAGACAGGGTTTCACCATGTTGGCCAGGCTGGTCTTGAACTCCTGACCTCAAGTGATCCATCCACCTTGGCCTCCCAAAGGGCTGGGATTTCAGGCATGAGCCACCGGGCCTGGCCAGAATTACTGTTTTTGATGATCACAATGTTGAAGGCCACACACACACACACAAATCCCTTTTTTGTTTTTTCTGTTTTTGAGACAGGGTGTTACTCTGTCACCCAGGCTGGAGTGCAGTGGGGCAATCATAGCGCATTGCAGCCTGCAACTCCCAGCCTCAAGCAACCCTCTCACCTCAGCCTCCCAAGAAGCTGTGACTACAGGCATGCACCCCCACGCCCAGCTGATTTTTGTATTTTTTGTACAGGCAGGGTCTCATTGTCCCAGCTACTCTTGAACCCCTGGGTTCAAGCGATCTTCCACCTCAGCCTCCCAAAGTGTTGGAACTATAGGTATCAGTCACCACACCTGGCCCAAAGAATCCCTTTTGATAATAGAAATAGGATTTGGGCACCCTGATTTTTTTCTTTTACTTTCCATAAAAGTTAGATTGGCAGTCTTGTAAGTGATATTTCTTAATAATATTAATAATAATGATAGCAGCTAACCTTAATTGAGGACTTAACTGTGTACTAAGCAATTTACATATATTTTAATACTTCTAACAACTTTATAAGGTAAGTATTATTACGTGTTTTACAGTTGTGGATACTTGAGTTACAGAAAACTTAAACAGTTTGTCCCTGATTACCCATCTGCTAAATGTTGAACTTAGGCAGTTTGACTTGCAAGTCACACATTTAGTGACTTGGTGACTTTGCCAAACTTGATCACTAGTATGTCGGAAGATGCCAAGAATTAAATCCCTAATATTTATGAAGCTCTTACGATATGCTAGGAACTGGTTTAAGCACTGTACTTGGATTAAATATTTTGTCAGCACTTAATGTTGACAAAAATCCTTTTGGGTAAATATTGTTATGATTATCACCATTTTATTGAGGAAAAATGGTGGCTCAGGTTAAGCAGCTTATTCAGGTCACAGAGTGGGTAGGTGATGAAGTTAGTATTCATACCCAGGCAGTCTGGCTCCGGGACATAACAGTATCACTGTGACCCTATGCTTCTTCCTAGAATGCTGAAGGCCTTTCCAGCAGGGCACTGCAGAAAGACTGGGACTCTCATGGGAGGCACAAACTCAGAGTGTGGTACAGCCCTCAAATGAAGTGTTTTCCTGGTTAGTTGGCAGGACAGAAACCACAGCCAGATGAGCCCGTTGGCAGTGCTTCCAGCATGCAACCCAAGTCCTGCTGGGTTTAGCAACCCTGGCATCGGGCACTTCCTACCGTTTCGTGCTCTTATCACCTCCACCTGCTTTGGACCAAATCGCTTTTCTAATTGATGGTTTTTGTTTTGTTTTGTTTTGTTTTTTCCTCCCCTCTCTGGTTCTCCGTTCAGCTTGAGGCTTTTTATTCCATCTTCACCACGGAGCAGCAAGACCATGTCAAGTCGGTGGAGTATCTGAGAAATAACTTTCGACCACAGCAGCGTCTGCATGACAGGGTGGTGTCCAAGTCCGCCGTCCGTGATGCCTGGAACCACGACGTGACAGACTTCTTAGAAAACCCACTGGGGACAGAAGCCTCTAAAGGTATATTTGGATTAAGTGCCTTACCCAGAGGAAGATTCCTTATCAAAAATTACTTTAAATTAAAAGGAATTCAAAGCCAGGCAGGAATTGGGACTTGGTGTTAAGTGCATATGTTTCTCTGCTAAAGGGAGCTTGTCTGGCTGAAAAATAGGAGCAGGTGTGGGAATAACTTCTGTTAAATAGGTATGATAGAAATTGCCCTTTTGACCAGTAATAGATAATTCTGTCTGCATTTCTGCCTGGTAGCTTCAAAACTTATAGCAATGTCTAGAGAAAGCTTTTTGAAAGTATCTTACTTTTTACGTGTTTCCCTGTTGATCAGGAGTTTATCTCTGAGCTCAGGTATCAGTGAAACGAGAGAGTTCCCTGACCTCTCCCCCCGCCTTTGAAGGACATGCCCCCCGCCACCTTTGAAGGACTTGCAACAGGAACGTGGCTTATCTGTTCGGTCACCATTCGCTTCTCAGACACCTTATGGGAGGGGGAGCACACAGACGGGCAGGTACAGGAGCCAGGGCAAGTTCCTTGGGGCTCTGGCACTAGGGTTGTTGTCTGTGACTCCTGAAGCCCAAGTGGGCATGTGTTACAGCGGGCTCTTGCAGCCTTGCTGTCTGTGGACAGCTTAAGTGTTAACCAGCTCAATGACCTCTTGGTACCCAGGTCCTTGTCCAGCGTCCAGGAAGAATCAGGTCACACATGGACTTGAAGAATGAATGTGGGGGTTTTATTGAGTGGTGGAGGTGGCTCTCAGCAGGATGTATCAGGAGCTAGAAGGGGTATGGAGTGAGAAGATGATGGAGTTTGGCCATTCAGTGGCCAATCTCCTCTCTGATTGTCCCTTGACATTCAGATGCTCCTTCTCTTCTCCCTACCATGCCATTCTGCTGTTCTACTCTCTTCTGTTCATTCCCCTTATCTGCTTCTGGAGCCTGGGGTCTGGAGTTTATATGGGTACAGGATAGCGGGGTATGGTGGGCCAAAAGGCAACTTTTGGTCATGAAAACAGGAATGTCTGTTTTCACTTAGGGCCAAGGGTCTCCAGGCTTGAGGGTGGGACCTTTGCTGGGGAACTGCCCTCTTCTGGTCAGTATTTCTCTGTCTCCTGTCCATATCATCAGGACCTTTGAATTGCTCCCAACACCCCAGTATATAGTAGTCTTACTACCATCCACCCCAGGCAAGAACTCCCACGCCAGCCTCACCCCCTACTGGAAATCACTTGCTAATTTTTTTAACCTTTATTCAACAGTTTAACCCCCATATCTGATACGCATAAGTTTATCATTTTCAGGCATCTCAGTCTTTTCCATGTCTACGTACTCATGTGAAATGAATATGAATTTCTCTCCCAGGAAATTAGAATGTCTGATTCTACCCTCACGCCTCTCCTCTCAGGTGTAACACATAATTGTGTGACAGAGCTCCGGAAATGCTGAGGGGAGCAAGGCTGATCAAAGCCCTATTACTTGGAATGGAGGAAGGAAAAAGAAGGAATTTTCTTTTGGTGCAAAAAGGGATATTTCCCAACCCAGTGCTCTCCTTCTTCAAAATTATGAGCTTGGGCAATAAAGGGAGAGCTTGTGTCATTTGTCAACACTGGAAGTAGACTGGGCTATTGTTAGTGTGGTACGTTATGTAGAAAGGTTTTCTTTCAAGAGTGCCCCCACCCCTCACAAAAGGGAACAGTTTATTGGCATATGGACTTTGTAGGAACAGGGGGAGTGGGATTCTATTCCACAGGTAACTGCAGTGGCATGCACTTTCATGATAATCATGAGCCCATTTTCTAGGCTCCTGTTTCTGAAAAGGAGCTAAAAGAAGAGGAGAGGGAGTTTAAGAATGTGAGCATTTCCTTCCTGTCTGTGTGATTTTGTTTGAGGTTAGTGAGGAGAAGTGAGTCAGACCAGGTTCCCTGAGAAAGGCTTGAGATTCAAGTAATTTGGGGACAATAGATTGTCGAGGGCCTCATTCTCTGGGAACAATGAGAGAATTAAGAAGCTCACAAACCTGTGAAATATCTTAGGTTGGGCTACCATGGAAAACCTCACATGAACTAATTTTTTTTTTTAACCTAGCTAAAAAAAATAAAGAAAATAACCCAACTAGAAAGCTTTCTCCCAAGAGAACTTGACTGAGAAAAGCAGGTCTCCTGGGGATTTTGTGAGAGTTATATGCAGAGGACATGGATTGTGGGGGTGAGGAATTCATATCACAAGTGAGTGCACGATCTGGTAGCTCAGAACTGCTGAGATGGTGACAGATAAGCTCTTTCCTGAAAAATGGGCCGAGCATATGATATATCAGCTGTACAGAGAAAATGCATGGCCTTTATTATCCAAGAAAGCTAGGGAAGATAATGGTTTCCATTGTGTTAAATTGTTGAAGTGGGCAGAATCTTCCACTGAACAGGCCTTCTCTGAATTTGACCACAACGACAGAACCGTCCTTAAATATGGCAAATTAATTCGTCATTCTACTGGGTTTATTTGAATTATCATAGTGCTCATCGCTGACTCTTTAAGACATGGGAGTATTAAAATGTTTTCTGATATTTTTAGAGCCAAAGAGAGAGCGGGATCTAGGTGCAGTCCTATTTGTGTGTTTAACATATTATTGGAGAGCTACATATACAGAAAAGTGCAGTACCTGTAACATGTGCACAGCTTGATGAATTTCCACAACCTGAGCACACCTGAGTAACAAGCTCCCAGATCAAGAAACTCCCATCTAGGATCTCATGACTCCCCACTCATTCCCCTTCCTAATCACTCTCTGTTCCCAAGGGTAACCTCTTCCAGAAATTCACTTTGCCTGTTTAATAAATTTCATAAAGATGGAATCATTCAGTATGTCCTCTTTGGTGTCCTGCTTCTGTTGTTCTACAGTGATTTTAAGCGTCCTCTCTGTTGATGCCTGTACTTGTAGTTTGTTCTTCTGTATTGCTAAATCCCATTGTGTGATTATACCTGAATATATTTATCCATTTCAGTATACATGAATATGTAGATTATTTTCAAGTCGGGGTGATTACGAAAATTCTTGAACCTGCCTTTTAATGAATATGTGGACATATCTCTATTGGGCATACACCCAGGAGTAAAATGGCAGCATCCTAGAGTACACATATTTTCAGGTTTGGTTAGAGACTGCCAAATGGCTCCCCAAAGTGATTGTATGTACCACTTTACACTTCTGCCAGCAGTTGAGGAAATTTTCCTATTTTTACAGCATTTTTTAAAGGCATAATTTACATACCATAATATACAGCTATGGTAAATGTATAATTTGATAATTTTAGTAAATTTATACTTGCACAGCCATCACTGCAGTCCAGTTTTAGAACATTTTCATCACCACAGAAAGTTCCTTCCTGCCCATTTGCAGTCAATTATTTCTCCTGCCCTCAACCCCAGGCAACCTCAGGTCTGGTTTTGTCTTTCACTTGGTGTTAATGATTTTAACATTTATCCATGTTTGGCATGTATCAGTAGGTCATTTTTATGTTATTGCTGAATAGTGTCCCTATTTTTTTAAATAACAGCTTTATTGAGATTTAATTCACATACCATGAAATTCATTCTTTAAAGTGTACACATCAGTAGTTTTTACTGTAGTCACAAAGTCATGCAACCATTTCTACCATTTATTTCTGGAACATTTTCATCACCCCAAAAAGAAACTCCATCTGTAGCAACCACTCCCATTCTCCTTCTCTTCTTCTGCTCTGTATCTCCCTCCCTCCAGGGCTAGGCGACCACTAACGTACCTTTTGTCTCTATGAATTTGTCTATTCTGGACATTTTATGTAAATGGATCATATATGACTTTTTTCACTTAGCATAGTACTTTCAAGGTTCATCTGTATTGGGGGGTTATGTATCAGAATTTAATTCTATGTTATAGCCAAGTAATATAGCACATAATATGTGGAGGTGCCATATTTTGTTTATCCATTTATCAATTAATGGACATTGAGTTTCTTCCCCCTGTTGGCTGTTATGAATAATACTTTTGTGAACATCCGTATCCAAGTTTTTGTGTAAATATACATTTTCAAGTCTTTTAGATGTAAACCTAGGAATAGCATTGTTGGGTCATATGGTAACTTTCTGTTTACGGTTTTGAGGAACTATCAAACTATTTTCCAAAGTGGTGGCATCAGTTTACATTCCCATCAACAGTGTATGCGCGTTTCAATTTCTCCATGCCCTCACCAACACTTGTTATTGTGCATCTCTTTTATTTTCACCAACCTAGTGAATATGAGGTTGTATCTCTTTATAGTTCTGATTTCCATCTCCCTAATGACTGATGATCTCCCTGTTTGTTTTTAAATGCACATGTCATGGAACCAGAGCCCACATGACCAAATGTTCCTCCTTTTTTTTCCCTAACAAGACTCAGGTAACTCAGCGGCACTATAGGCCAAAAGATGGCCTACACATCATCAGACAGCCTGGAAGACTTAGATTATTGACCTTAGAGATATAAGCAGGAAAGAGCCAAAGCACGGAACAAGTCCTTTTCCTTCCTCCACTCTTCTGTGAAAAAAAGTTTTAAAAAGAGAAGGAGTGGTATTCTGTAATCTTCAGGTAATTCAAAAACAGCAAAGCCTGCCTGATTGGTATTCTCTATCTAATAATTATTGGAAGCTTTCAATGCCCAGGAAAGCTATGATGTTTTATGCATTTGTCGGGCTATTGTCACAGAAGAAGGAAAAATAAATTAATTACATAAGGCAGGAGTCATTTACATTTTTTGGTTAAGAGCCAGATAGTAAATGTTTTTGGCTTTGTGGGCCATATGGTTTCTGTTGAATCCTGGGTATTTGTGGGACATTGGTTCCAGGACCCCTACGGACACCAATATCCTTGGATGCTCAAGTCCATTATATAAAAGGGTGTTATATTTGCATATAACCTAAACACATCCTCCAGTATACTTTAAAATATTTCTAGAGTACTTATAATATTAATGCAATGTAAATGCCATTTAAATAG